GAGATCTTGAATATGGGTCAAGGTCAATTACTTGAACAAATTGGTACCCCTTCATCCACTCATATTAAAGAACAAATATCAATAGTCTCCATGTTTTGTTATTGAGAGGAAGTCATTTGAAGATTTTAACATATTTGACCCCCATGACCTTTAAGAGAGAAAATGCCAATCACATGAACAAAATTGGTAACCCTTCATCCTAGCATGCCACAGGCCCAATATCAGCACTAAGCCCTTTGGCTAATGCGAAGAAGTCATTTAAAGACATTGATATACACCTGTGACCTTAAAAGAAGGTGGGCATCAAAGATATGAACAAACTTGGTAGTCCTTCATCCCACACATGCTATAGGAGCCATATCAGCACCCTGGGCTTTTTGGTTATTGAGAAAAAGTTGTTTAAAGATTTTAACATATTTGACCCCTGTAACCTTGAAAGCAGGTCAAGGTCATTCATATTTACAAACTTGGTTGGTATCCCTTCATCCAATTATGCCCAAAATAAGTTCCCTAAGCCTTCCTGTTGAGAAGAAGTCATTTGAATGGAAAGTTTACAAACAGTGGATGGCGGATGGCGCACGATGACAGGCGAAACATGATGGCTATAGGTCATCATGACCCTTCAAGTCAGATGACCTACAAATGTATGTTATCATTTACATTGTCTTTGAGGATAACCCTTTTCTGAAGAATTGAAAGAAAAAAATTTCATCTTGACCAAACTATTTTGCCAGTCCCTATGCTACCTTTGTAAACAGAGGGTCCTATGACCTAATATCTGTACATAAAAACTGCTATCCAACATGTACACTGTTACAATATTTGGCATTCGTAGGAAACACTGTGTACAAGATTTGCCCGACACCACTGTGTATAACTTTGTAATATAGGGCCCAGTGTAAATACAGTATATAATTTGATCTCCACCACCAAAAAATAGTGCCAGATTTACATTTTCAGGAACATCAGGTATAAAGCTTTACACCTTATAAAGAAATGCACAGAAGTGCAAACCGTAAGTATGTCTGTACAAGAGGGAAATGTTCGGATCATTTATAACCAACTGCTATCTGGTGAAGGATGAAAGAAATGCCATGCAGTGTTTGTACTGATGACTGTGTGAAATCATTTTATGAATATTGAAGTCATATGTTAACATACAAGTCACATGTCAACAATGTAATTGTTCGTCAATCATCACCAGTGAATACCTAGCAACAAATACTTATGATATGATAGCTACATACCAGCACCACAAAGTATCTGATCATAAAATCACTCCATACATGTACCACAAAGTACTTCTATGATAAAATCACTCCATACATGTACCACAAAGTACTCCTATGATAAAATCATTCCATACATGTACCACAAAGTACTCCTATGATAAAATCACTCCATACATGTACCACAAAGTACTCCTATGATAAAATCATTCCATACATGTACCACAAAGTACTCCTATGATAAAATCACTCCATACATGTACCACAAAGTACTCCTATGATAAAATCACTCCATACATGTACCACAAAGTACTCCTATGATAAAATCACTCCATACATGTACCACAAAGTATCTGATCATAAAATCACTCCATACATGTACCACAAAGTTCTCCTATGATAAAATCACTCCATACATGTACCACAATGTACTCCTATGATAAAATCACTCCATACATATACCACAATGTACTCCTATGATAAAATCACTCCATACATGTACCACAAAGTACTCCTATGATAAAATCATTCCATACATGTACCACAAAGTACTCCTATGATAAAATCATTCCATACATATACCACAATGTACTCCTATGATAAAATCACTCCATACATGTACCACAAAGTATCTGATCATAAAATCACTCCATACATGTACCACAATGTACTCCTATGATAAAATCACTCCATACATGTACCACAAAGTATCTGATCATAAAATCACTCCATACATGTACCACAAAGTACTCCTATGATAAAATCATTCCATACATGTACCACAAAGTATCTGATCATAAAATCACTCCATACATGTACCACAAAGTTCTCCTATGATAAAATCACTCCATACATGTACCACAATGTACTCCTATGATAAAATCACTCCATACATGTACCACAAAGTTCTCCTATGATAAAATCACTCCATACATGTACCACAATGTACTCCTATGATAAAATCACTCCATACATGTACCACAAAGTATCTGATCATAAAATCACTCCATACATGTACCACAAAGTTCTCCTATGATAAAATCATTCCATACATATACCACAATGTACTCCTATGATAAAATCACTCCATACATGTACAACAAAGAACTCCTATGATCAAAAACAGTATAGATTAAATAAAACAAAAACAGAAAAATTAACAATAAAAAAATATTCGACCACACTACTTGTGGTGAACCTAAAATATGAAAGGATTGTTAGGTTGTCCATCAAATAGCTAGGCAATGGTACAACAAGCACCAATATAAACAAACTATTAGCAAATAATTTGATATTCTCACATACAAACGCTGTACACAAACAATGATACAACTCGTTATAGTTCTCCTACTAAAAATTATACAATGCATTTTACAAAATGTATTTCATTGTTTTATGACACTCTCAAAGTAATTGTTATGTTCTGACATATGAGTTGGTGGACCGTTGAGTTCAACACGAAAAACAAAATTTTTTTACATACTTAAAGCATAAGGATTTGGTGATAATTGATAGACAGCCATGACTGCGAAACTTTTGAAATCTTCAACTTGTTACATCTGTATCATTGGTTCATTGGGTTAGAGATATCTTAATATAAACTGTGTGTTAATATAATGATAACTTACTGTATGAATTAATTAATTCACAACCATTTATTCTCCCATCTCTCCTGTAGCTGAACAAAAATTGATAACATTGAAAGCATCTAATTAAGAAAACACAGCACAATTGGTTACTTTGAATTGCCACCTTACAATTTCACTGCATATGTAGAAGCACTCTATACATTTGTTCTGAAACAAAGTAAAAGATATCATTTGCTCTCCCATAATACAACCCCAAACTGCCTTGAAATATATAAATGTAGCTGAATGAGGGGATCTGATTCTTGTGTGCGAAAACAACTTCAAAAAGGGCAAGAATCAGAATCAAGCAGTGTTGATGAGCAATCTAATACTATCTGTGTTTCCATACATAAAATTTAGCTACCATTGTATCACATTAAAACACTAAACATACTAAAATTGCACTGAAATGACCTTGGTTTTGACTCTAAGTTTAATAATAAGGTAACAATATAAAAAAATCTAGATAATTTGTACCAAGATATCAATACACAATACAAATAATTAACTGAAATCACACAATGAACGCACTGCTGCACAATACCTTATATGGTTTACATATTCTTTATCTATATATATATATACTAGAAGATATTGTCACAATTAACTCTTATTGATGTAGTAAAATGAAAATGATCTCAAATACAACCAATAAAACATGAAACATTCATAAAATTTCAAAAATATCTCAAAATTTGCAGAATAAGAAGTACACATTTTTCTGTAATCTAAAACTTCTGTGTGATGAAAGACAATAACATATAATAAAACCTTGTCGATTTTATACCATATAAAAGTCAACACTTAAATATATGTAAGTTAAAAATAGGATTTAATTGTCCATATAAATCAGTCCTTATTAAGGCATTTAAAAGTGTATGAAACATGAATCTTTTCGATTTAGTTAGAGACATTGCTAAGTCAGTTGACCATCTGTTAAGTACCCACTCATTTATACATAATTATAAATCAGCTGATCATTTATCTGATGTCAGTGACATCACACACATGTGTATACTCCTATATAGTTCCTGACCATTTCATGGATCAGTGCTTCAGATTTCTAGATAAATGAAGTTTGGGTGTTAAAAAGAGCACCTGGTAATTATATTAAGCAAGTATGCATTATCTATTGAAGTGTTTAACAGATATTTCATAAGATACAGATATATTGAGCAGTGAAATCTACTAACTATTTTAACGTGGTGAAAGGCACTACAATATATAAAATCACACCACATATGCCACAAGTTTCAATACAACAGCACCTCAAAATGTTAAAAATAATGGTCCCTCAAAATAGTTATGGTTGCTATAGGCACAGAAGACCTGTGAAATGTCACATGGTAGCAACGTGTAGCCAGGGAGATACTATTATCACAAGCACTACAAGGTTCCTGGACATAGAAACTACTTGATTTTATTTACTTACCTCTGTAGCTATGGCTTGTATCTTAAATCGGATGTATTTAATTTGTTAATCAATTCTCCCTGATTTTGTACACAGAGTGCCATGTGACAAATCACATCTCAATACAGGCTTCCTGTTCACTCTCAAAAGGAATTTGGACTGATCCATCCCACACACTCTCTCACACTGTGTACCCTGACTGATCCATCCCACACACTCTCTCACATTGTGTACCCTAACAGATCCATTCCAGACACTCTCTCACACTGTGTAACCTGACAGATCCATCCCACACTCTCTCACACCGTGTAACCTGACAGATCCATCCCACACTCTCTCACACTGTGTAACCTGACAGATCCATCCCACACTCTCTCACACTGTGTAACCTGACAGATCCATCCCACACTCTCTCACACTGTGTAACCTGACAGATCTATCCCACACATTCTCTCACACTGTGTAACCTGACAGATCCATCCCACACACTCTCTCACACTGTGTAACCTGACAGATCCATCCAACACACTCTCTCACACTGTGTAACATGACAGATCCATCTAACACACTCTCTCACATTGTGTACACCGACAGATCCATCCCACACTCTCTCACACTGTGTAACCTGACAGATCCATTCCATACACACTCTCAGTGTATCCTGACTGATCGAATCAGGTGATTAACCTAACACTAATAGACAAATACAAAGATTGACTACATAGTGTTAGGGTAATCCAACTCCAATAAGATAAAAATCTGACAAATTTCCAAAAAGTCTGATCTCATAATTTTCAGTTGTTTTCAATCAAATTTTACCCTTTGTTATAAAAAATATGCATACATGCATACAAATATAAATAATTTTGTAAGAGTCAATTTTTCAAATCTAAAAATTTTCTTCCTATTGGAGTTGATTTCTGACCAATAAGTCTGGTACACCTCCCCCATTCCGACACACAATACACACATCCTTCAGGGCTACAGCTTACAGAGATAACTCTGCTGGGGACTCCATGAAAGACAGTAGCCAATTAGTAACTGCTGAGATCACAGGTTTGCCGACACAGTCATGTTTCCATGGTGACAGAGTCAGTAGTGGACTTGGTCAGTTGAAAGCTTGACACAGACCCATTTCTGGAGGCTTTTCTGATAAAGAAGTTATAGTAGTGTATATATAAGTACATAAATAGCAGACACCCAAACCAGGAAAGACTATTTAAGGCAGTATCTCACATCTATTACATAAATTTCATCATCAAATCAGAAATATGTGTAAATCCATGGGATGAAACCTGGAACTCATCTTTCAGCAAGAGTAAATACAAAATATTTGTTTATTTCAATGGAAAAAATTAAATGTTTATAAGAATGCAAATCTTAAAACAAAAAGGTTAATTTGATTAGAGATTTCAGTGTTTCCAGGGAGATAACCAAGTATATGAGTGACCTAAGATACATCCTTAAATCTAACATGGGTATCATGTGTGTCCTGACTAAAATGAACCAATAAAAAAATGGCCACCATTATCTTGTTTTATAGGTTAATGTGTTAACTTTTTTCACGGTTTCTGTTTCCATAGAGGTCAAATGTGACCTTTTCACCTTATCTGAAGACCAAAGAAATCCAATCAGGTGTGGATTTTTTTATTTAATGATACTATGCTGTATGTATGCACTCAATCTGCTGAGGGATTCACAAGAAAGATATCTTTCACACATGAATTGATAGAGAGGCACATGTACACAAATGGATTACAATAAAAACATCATCACCTTACACACATCTTTACTAAGTAGGAGAGGGATTAGGTATACAAACATTAATAATATTAATCGCAGATTACAGTGTACAAACCTGCCAACAGAAGTTTGATCTCTGACCTCTGAATGATCAACTTCTGACCCACCAGAACCAGCCGAATCCAGACTTTGTTGACTCGCATTCTTTTCTCTGTAAAAAAATCAGATAAGATGTTGATATACATAATATATAATAAGTTCACACAACTTCTGAACAATGCAGAATCACCGTGATGTAGCTCTGCTGATATATTCTCTTACATTTGTATAATGTTAATTATATGTACTCTAAATGAGAAAGGTGATTGATGGATCAAAGTGTTACGTTTGTAACATCATTTGATGAAATTGCCTAAAGATGATGCAACACTTCAGCTTGAGCGCGTCACATGACTTCAAATATTTCCTAGAAATACCTAAGAGCTTTGGACAACATCTCCACTTGTTTCTTGTAGAGTTTGAGTTCATCAGTAAGAATGGAGATTTCAGAATCCCTGTCAGCCATTTCTTTTTTTAAGCTGTACACGGTGTCCTCCAGCTCCTCACAATGAGCCTGAAAGGTTAAGGTCTCACGGTCATTAAAATCTAAATGGGCTATCTCCTGGAGAAATCTATCAATAGCAGCTTGAAAATTGGTCAAGGTTTAAAACCACACCGCTTAAGATATAAATAAGAATAAACACGAAGGTATTAAAAAGATTTTAGAGAAAATATGTTGATCAATTATTTTTCAAGAAGTCTAAGCCCAAGATCATCAAGGACATTTTCTAGATAATACTAAACCTGGAATTCTTCTGCATATACCTCTTTCAAAATGTTACTTTACACAATCATGTATTCTGCTCTCCTCCAAACTAAATACTGAACCTAGAAATATTCCCTACATACACCTCTCTCAACATAATACTACTAGTACTTCACACAACCATGTACCCTGCTCGCCTCCAACCTAAACACTGAACCTAGAAATCTTCCCTACAAACACCTCTCTCAACATAATACTACTAGTACTTCACACAACCATGTACCCTGCTCGCCTCCAACCTAAATACTGAACCTAGAAATCTTCCCTACATACACCTCTCTCAACACAATACTACTAGTACTTCACACAACCATGTACCCTGCTCGCCTCCAACCTAAATACTGAACCTAGAAATCTTCCCTACAAACACCTCTCTCAACATAATACTACTAGTACTTCACACAACCATGTACCCTGCTCGCCTCCAACCTAAATACTGAACCTAGAAATCTTCCCTACATACACCTCTCTCAACATAATACTACTAGTACTTCACACAACCATGTACCCTGCTCGCCTCCAACCTAAACACTGAACCTAGAAATCTTCCCAACATACACCTCTCTCAACACAATACTACTAGTACTTCACACAACCATGTACCCTGCTCGCCTCCAACCTAAATACTGAACCTAGAAATCTTCCCTACATACACCTCTCTCAACATAATACTACTAGTACTTCACAAAACCATGTACCCTGCTTGCCTCCAACCTAAATACTGAACCTAGAAATATTCCCTACATACACCTATCTCAACATAATACTACTAGTACTTCACACAACCATGTACCCTGCTTGCCTCCAACCTAAATACTGAACCTAGAAATATTCCCTACATACACCTATCTCAACATAATACTACTAGTACTTCACACAATCACGTACCCTGCTTGCCTCCAACCTAAATACTGAACCTAGAAATATTCCCTACACATACTTCTGTTAAAACATTAGTACACACAATCACGTACCCTGCTTGCCTCCAACCTAAACACTGAACCTAGAAATATTCCCTACACATACTTCTGTTAAAACATTACTACACACAATCACGTACCCTGCTCGCCTCCAACCTAAACACTGAACCTAGAAATATTCCCTACACATACTTCTGTTAAAACATTACTACACACAATCACATACCCTGCTCTCCTCCAAACTATCATGAGGTCCTGGAGGCTCGTCTAGGCAGAAGAATTGTCGAACAGGCTGACTGAAATTATACACACCATCTGTTCATCAGGTATCAAGTTCAGAAATTCATATTGCAAGGTTTGAAAGTTTCTTCTTTCAAATTAAGGTTTCACAGCCAAATATTAAAACATAATTATCTATGGAAGTGATCCTTCCAAAGCTATAAAGATGTGTTTGAAAGTGACACCTTTATTGGTCTTTTAAAACTTTTAACCCATGCCACCTATTTCAATTACGTAGTTTCATTGCCTGCCCTCTAACCTCTTTTTTATATCAGGATGACCAGTTATGTTGTCGGCAAATGCTTGTAATCCCAGCATCCTATCTTCCAGGAAGTTCCTGTCAAAGTTATCTTTGAACCACCTCTTGGGTGGAAGAGCTAATCGTAACCCCGGGAATAACTTCTTCAGCTGTAGAACAAGATATACAAATTGTTAATGTCCGTAGAAATGTAAACCAAAACAAGTTTATCTTACACATATTTAACTTCATCTATAAAAAAAATTTAAGTACTGAAAGAGTTTATTTAACCTATTGGATAAAGTCCTGCCCTGCTGAAGAGAGACATGTATAAATTTGACATTAGATGGTTAACAAGCACTGTACCACTATGACCAGCTCACTTGTTCTTCAGAAAGTTGACCTAACAGGAGATGTTTTCCGTTACAGTGATGTACAATGTTTTATACCCTGACCTTCATTGAACTACACTTTCTTTACAGCATACCTTCTGATTTAGATGGACAAAGTCGGAGAATCGTCGGAACACAAACCAGCTGTTAGTCGCCGATACCCTCACCTGGATCTTGAACACCTGTCAAACATAATTCACAACTGTAAAATCACACTTTCATCACAGTATTCACTGTGTGATTAAATACGATTTGTTTCAAAATCTGTGTCAAGTGAGTGAGATAAGCCTGTGGACATGAGTTAGATCATTGTGGAAGGTTTAGCAGCAGTGTCAATGTACATTTCTACATAAATGATAGCTAACTGAAGCAACAAGTGAATCAGTGAAACAGATAAATGCTCTCTGTATTTAAGGGGTTGCAGGTTCTGGATTTCATATACAGCACATTTTCTTAGTATGACCAATGTATACACCAAGTTTCATGATCCTAGTTATAATGCAAGCAAAGCCAGGCTCATAACGCAAAATTTTAACAAAGGGTGATAACTCTAGGTCATTTGTATTGACAACTACGCTACATCTTGCTTTTTGAGACTGATGTATATATCGTGTTTCAATATCCAAGTTTATTTAAATGCAGACAAATTAATGCCTTACAAACAAACTTTTAACAAAGGGCAAAAAGCTGTGTAATTAAGGGGTTGCGGGCCCTAACATCAAGAAATTGCACATTGTTTTTGTATGATCAATGTATACACGTAGTTTCATTATCCTAGTTTAAATGAATGCAAAATTATGCTCTGGACAATATATTTTTAACAAAAACCATTAACTCTATAACTGATTGGTCAAAGGCCCTAAGTTTGGTACACAGCGTATTGTCTTTATATGATCAATGTATACACTATGTTTCATGATCCTCGCTTAACTGTTATCAAAGTTGTGCTTCAGACAAGAAATTTTCAACAAAGGGCAATAACTCTATAATTGAGGGGTCAATGGCCCCGAATTTGGTACACTACACATTATCTTAGTATGATCAATGTATCCACCAAGTCTCATTATAATTGTTTGAATGCAAGCAATCTAATGTTGTGTTCTAAACACAAAATTTTATGTGCAATGTTTTTAGCATGATCAATGTATACACCAATATTTTGGAACATTTTCTTTGGGTTTGTTATGTCAGCAGAATAGAAGTTCTTATTACACAACCAGCAGAAGATCAGAGTGTGAAATTTCAATGACTACATGGTCACCTTCATCAGACGAATGACCAATGCTAGCACGCTCCACACTGGTCATTTGTCTGATGAAGGTGACCATGTAGTCATCGAAATGTCACTCATATCTTCTACTGGATGTGTAATAAGAACCTCTATCCTACCTATACATCAAGTTTCATTATCATAGCTTAAATGTATGCAAACTTATGCTTCCGACACAAAATTTTATCAGAGAGCAGTGTCTCTGATTTAGGGGTTGAGGGCCTAATTTTGGTACACTGCACATCACCTTAATATGACCAATGTATGAAGGTTTATTGATCCTTGCTTAACTGGGCAAAGTTACCCTCCAGACACGGAAGGAAAGACGGATGGATGGACATGGTGGTGATTATATGCTCCCTGAAAAACTTTTAGGAAGATAAAAGTACCATACTTACTGTGAACTTTGATCTTTCCTCCATGACCTCAAAGCCTACAATGGGGACGGTGATTTCCTCAGATGTTCCTGTCACCCTGTGAGAAGGGACAGGCTCCCCATTTTGACTACGTGACCTTGAGAATGCTCTCTTCAGGTGAGCAGCCATCCGGGTGTGGTCAAGGGATACACTGTTGAGAGGGGTGCTTGTGATCTGATCCTGGGGCCGGGGCTGTAACGACACAGACACACTGTCCATGTCAGAATCTACAGGAATACTAATGTCAGTACCGTTACTGGTTAGGGAGACTTTAGACTCTGACAAGTTGTCTGCATATCCACTGTCACATGGCATGCCCTCATCATCTCCAGAGGGCCCATTAGGTGGCACCACTGTATCCTGATCACATGACCCCTTATTATCATTTGAGGATGCCACCTTTTCTCCAAACCTGTCGTCAGGGTGAACAACCTTAGTAGCCTGGTCACCCATTACCCTTCAAGTTCTAACATTGTAATGTAAGGCCAGACACTTCTCTAGGTTACGGTAATCTGAAAAACAAGTAATATACACGGTACAGTACATTGTAATAAAAAAGTACATTGTATTACATTGAAATTATATACATTTTATCATTATACAGTGTCTAGTATACATATAGGTATAAACTACACCTGTGAATTCCTGCTCTCTTATTTGAATCAACTTTTTGTACCCAATGATATCATCAGCATTCTCTACTGTAGAGAGAAAACTACATGTATCTCAGATGAAAGCCTCATGATTTTTAGTTCTCTTCAAGTTAGGTCCAAGGCATAAGCAGTTTAAAGTTCAAGCAACTGTGTTATGTAACTATGGTGATAGTAAATCCTTACAAGATATACTGTTACAGTTTCTCTTCCTCAAACACACGACTGATTTTTAGCTTTACAATACTGTAGTCTAACTTTTGTTGGATGTTTTTCTTTTTCACCTTGTTTTAAAAACACATCAGAAAAACTTTTGTAACTGATACCTATTCAGTCCAAACGTCTTCATCAACAACGAGAATATGAGACGACCAAAAAAAAAAATGTGCTGACAAGGAAACCAGTTAAGTTAATTAGGTACACAAATGTACCAGAAGTAAAGGATTACCGGACACTGGTCAGTGTAGACTAGAGATTAGGGTGTTAATACAGTACTTAGTATACTGGTGACCCTATTACATGTGTATGTATTGTAGCTTCTTTCCCTTTGTTATATCCTGGAATTCCTACCTTTACTGATCTCTGTGATGTTTTACCTAGAGATAATCCCCTATTACCACCACACCTTGTACTTACAATTTATCCTTCAGACAAAAATGAGTCCTCAGGAAATTGTCAGATACTAAATACACACAAAGGTAATTCTTTATCAGCTTATGGAATGTACAACTTGTAATTTAAAAATTTTAAAAAATCAGAAATTTTTAAATATAATGTATCATTGTCTGTTGACTAAAAATGTTTGCAACGCAATTCAAATTTCTATGTGGCTGATGTACAAGTCCACCGAGGTATCTCAGACTGATAATCCCTGTCCTAGGCAGAATGTGTAATCTTCTTTGTTGATAAATTCTATTCTAAGTAACATGTAACTTACAAGAATAAATAAAAAATAAGAAAATTTAAAATCATGATGAGAAATGATATGTAGTTTATAATGTTCTTGCTGAAAATTTGAAGTCACTTTAGAGCATTGATGCGTTGATGAATAAAAAAGGGAGACTTCATGGTTGATAGAGTAGTATGATGTTGTTACGTGACAAAATGACTGAATGTATTTCCATCCATCAAATGCATTTATGAATTGAGAATGTACGCAAAATTTTCATTTCATTGCTAGGCTGAAAACAAGCAACTAATCCATCATCATTACAGAGGTAAAAGATTCACACCACGTAGCATTTCTTATTTAAACTATTACCTGATAATTTAGAGGTAAAACTTATCATAAATCACTGGAGTTGAGACAAAGACATTTATGTGTATATAATTATAAAAACTAAGACAGCATGAAAATGATCACAAGACTTACTTCTAACATTCAGACTGCATGGTGACATCTGAACAGAGACTTCAGGTTAAGTGGAATATTAACATGTGGAAAATAAACACAAAAGTAACCACTGTGTTTTACTTTGGTTATAGAACATTTCAGGTAATCAATCCCATTTCCTTTTATACACAACTACTGACACATTTATAAATATAGATATAAATACAATTATGATATCAATCAAAACTATATGGCTATTGTCATTGGTAATCATCAAAATCATCACAATTACCAGTTATTGTCATATCTACTGGTTAATATCACATAAGCATGTTATTATCAATGATTAATGGTCATGGTAAAATTTGTTGGTTGTTGTCATAATTACAGATTAATGTCGCATTTCTCTGTTACTGTCACATTTACTAGTTTTTGTCAAATTCTTTGGTTATTGTCACATTTACTAGTTATTTTCAAATTTATTGGTTATTATCATATTCACTGGTTAATATCACATTTACCTATTACTGTCACATTCAGCAGTTATTGTTACGTCTATCATTTAGGTTTTCAAATTTAATTTCTATGTGATATCATTTACTGAGTTACCAGATGCAGATTCGTACATATAAAGATGTAGTGTTTGTTTGTGTGTGCTCATTGTTGGGAAAACATGTGCTGAGGTAAGTGCATGTTTGTTTCTTGTAGTTATGAATACTGGGTAAGTATATCTATTTTTACATTGTAACCACATGATTTACAATATAGTATATTATATAGCAGTTGCAGATAGCTTTTGTCTATCATAATGTTACATACTTCAAACTGCTACCATTACTTCTCACATTTTATACAATAAAATAACAGGGATGAAAAGTAACTAGTGCATATGTACAAAAATATATAGGGAATGTGGTAGGATAGATAAATGGTGCTACATGATATAGGTCAAACATTAACTATATAAATGTAGAGTAGAGGCCTCACGATCAGATTTCCCTTCATATCACAACCATATCATGGTATTATATATGATCAATCAATTTCATCTATCGTGACATGTAAGATTGAAAGGAACTGTATATTACAGTTGTGATTTACATGATATGTTATGTTGAAATAGGAGAACCTGAAATTGCTGATCATTAACCAAAGGTTTCACATTTACCTGTATTGAAAGTCCTGGTCAACTCAATGTATAAAGGACTTTTCAGGACATTTTAAATGAGACTGATGAAAAACAGTGTCTTTGTTGTGGTGTCATAATAACATATCAAAGCAATGGAATTCTGTATACAATCACAACTAAGTGACATTTTATTGAATATTCACTCACAATACAAAATCTGAAAAAAATATAACCATAGGCATAGCAGCACAGAAAAGAACAAATTAGCATAAAAGTGATTTTTAGGACTCAGATATTTGAGTCCTGAACTCATGATTTTTCTGCAGGACTTACTCAAATTTTGAGGACTTACTATATCTCTTGATTATTGGGCTCACAAAATTTTTGGAAATAGTGTTCTGGACTCATCTAAAAATATCCCACAAAAACCAGTGCCGGTATCACAATCACTAATATCTTTCTCACACTTTTAATGAAAACATTTGTTTGTATGATGACAAGAAAATATCAATTCCTTACTGGGGCAAATCTCTTTCACTGACACAAAGCCTTACATAATTAGTCAAAGTTAAGGAGGGAGTTGGTTTTGTGCAACATCAGAAGGATATGCTGCAGAAAGTTAAGGAATAAAGCAGGAGAGACACAGATTAAATTCTTACCTTCAGACTGCCTCAACTAACATATCTAATCAAACTGTCTCCAAGAACTTATTTCTTAAAAGTCATTGATAATGATATTAGAAAATCAATTTGGTCACATGATTTAAAATAAACTATTCTGTGTAATTAATGGTCCTCAAAATATATTTTGCCAACAAATTCAATGCAAAAGTGGACATAGAACCATTTAAGAAGTAAATTTTGTAATCTGTTGTATCAATAAGCTTCAATTCAATTTATATGTCAGAATGCTTTGACAATCCATTGCACATAAAAATTACTAGTGATATTTGTTTTAAGGAAATCAATCATAAATACTCATCAAGCATTTTAATCTACAGTATTTTGTTTTTTTAGAAAATCAGTAAAATCATTAAAGTGCAGCCAGATCAATATTGATATTGTAACAGAGTCGGACAAAGAACAATAGTATCAAAATGCAAAATCACTCTTACATGTATAAATCAAATGTTGAACTGCATGCAGTATACATGTAGACCTTAAAAAGAAAGACATTGTACAAGTTAATAATCTTTCGTAATTTTTTATCAGTATTTTACTTATGTATATCTAGAAGTTGAGCCACTACTGTGTTACTTATAGTGGTTGATAAATGAGTCCTTTGCTTATTGCCCCATTTAAAGGACAGAAAACATCATCAAACAAGGTCAAAGGACAAAGGGAAGTATATGTCTGGAAGTCATACAGATACTACATGTACAATGTACCTACCAATTTGGAAGTGAATCTGATCAAAAATGTGGGTTAGATGGACAGACATAGAATTCAGTACCAATATATCCATACGTCAGATCAGCCAGTGTAATAAAAAGATACAAATTAGATTCTTACATGTTATTGTCTGAAATATATGGCTGCTTATGCAGGTTTTTCATATTTCAAACAATATTTCCTCATCTTGTAACCCTGGTAAAATACTAGTCACAATATACCACTAAGCTATAGACCTTCTCTTTAGCTTAATTGGTTGAGTATCAGACCAGTAAGTCGGGGTCCCGGGTTTGATTCCTAGCAGAGGCACTGAATACACAATGTCCTCTGTTACAATCTATTTTATGATCTTCTGCTAAGGAGAAAAAAATATTTCTTCTACTTTATGTGAGAAAAATGGAGATAATTCCATTGGTGAATATTCACACATTTCATTTTTAGGCTTCGTGGATGGGCCACAGACTTATAGCAGCACAACCTACTTCATGATTCCCAAAGTAGCTACACTCTGCCCCACACCTGGGAAACCCAGAACTAAGTCTGCTCATGTGTTATTTGTCAGATTATCACACATTTTACCGACATTCTTTTTCATTAATTTTTTTTTATTCTTTCACAGCTGGGTAAACGGTATGGGAACTATGAGATATGCACCTGGCTTTGAATGATCATTGTGGGAAGACATCATCATTTTCGTGCATGTCAAACACATATCAAATACATTTATGATATGTTTTTGAAATACATTAAAATACAATTCTTCTATTATATACGTTTAGCCATTAATACCATATATATATTATTACTAACAATCATCTCATGATCTCAACAATAAAAAATAGTATTTAGTCAAGAATTTTCTTTTTTTCTTCTTTCATTTTTCGTTGCGTGTACAAAAATTCATAGGAATAATATAAGTTTCTAGTACATGTATCATTTGCAAATACAAATTTCAACTTTGCTATCAAGATTTTATAAAATTGATAAACAGTAAACTCACATACCTAGTGTAAGTCCGATCTGAACCGACTGGAAACTTGAAATCCAGGTACGCAAAACTCTATTTTATACTATGCAAACTCTCCTATAGTTATGCAACAGATCTACGTGTTTAATTTAGGTTTACAGCAACACACACAGATATTAACACACATATTAACAGAATGAAGACTAATGAACATACATACCGTAACCCTTTCTGTTTACAACGTCGTCTGATTCATAACAAACAGCACATGATCAGCGGAAGTAAGTAAATACAGACAAGGGAGATAACTTCAACGTTCTTCCTGACCCAGAATAAATATAACTACAGTGAAGGTATCAATAAGTTGAATTAATTATAATATCAATAAATCCATTTATTTACAGAATTAAATAATAAAAAAAAATGATAGATTTTGGGTTTTTGATATCACTAAAATGAATAAGTGATTTAACTAATAAAATACTATCCGATAATACGAAAGCGTTTATGAGCCAAGAGACAAGAATCAAGAATTAGAGCTGTATTTAAAGTCGCATAAGGTTAACAATAAAACATTAGCACTGTATTATTGCGGCAAACATAAATGTTAAACATTGTATTGTATACATAACAATAATGCTCGCTACTTATGTAGTGAAGAAATATTACAGTTATCTAAGAGTTACACGATTAACAATGGGCACTAATTGTAAATCACACAAGTGTCACACAACAGAAAAAATTAAAACACTATCAAAGTGTTATAAACATATATGCTATTATAGCAAATTATAAAAATCGACATAATATACACTAATAAAGTGTGCATAAAAAGTTGACCATCAAGTCAGGAGAAAAACAAAACAAGAAACAATAACAAAAACAAAACAAAACACCAATAAGACGATTTAAGATAAATATCACAAGTAGCAAAAATACAAATATGAGGACACAGGAACAGACCTGGGTATCCCAGGTACGGAGCAGTCGCCGGACAGACTCACCATTCTGAGCTAACCTAAACTCGTTCGGCAGGCTGTTCCATACCTGGGATGCCATAAACGAAAAGATCTCATCCCATAAGTAGAGGTATTCACCACAGGGACTCTTACAAGATTGTTTTGTCTAAAATTATATAAACAACTTCTTTCCTATCGATAAGGTCTTGTAAAATAGACAGCGAAATAACATTTAAAATCTTAAAAACCTGAGTGGCATGTACTTAATACGGTTTACATGTAAAACGCTAACTGGGGAAGCAGTCATTTTCGATAAAACTCTTGCACTTCTTCCATTTTTCTAGTCTTTGTAAAGATACAAAAGTACCAGGGTAATGGGCAATAATTAAAACCATTATTGACCAAGGTTTATAAGACATATGTCACATATCATGACAAAACGGTCTTTTGTCCTTAAGTTGTAATCTTTAATAATTATACTCGGTACCACGTCCGGTGTTGATTATAGCCGGACATCATACTGGGCATCACGTCCGGTGTTGATTATAGCCGGACATCATACTCGGCATCACGTCCGGTGTTGATAATAGCTGGACATCACACTCGGCATCACGTCCGGTGTTGATTATAGCCGGACATTATACTGGGTATCAAGCCCGGTGTTGATTATAGCCGGACATCACACTCGGTACCACATTCGGTGTTGACTATAACCGGAAATCATACTCAGCATCACGTTCGTTGTTGATTATAGCCGGACATCATACTGGGCATCACGTCCGTTGTTGATTATAGCCGGACATCATACTGGGCATCACGTCCGTTGTTGATTATAGCCGGACATCATACTCGGTATCACGTCCGTTGTTGATTATAGCCGGACATCATACTCGGTATCACGTCCGGTGTTGATAATAGCCGGACATCACACTCGGCATCACGTCCGGTGTTGATTATAGCCGGACATCACACTCGGTATCACATCCGATGTTGATTATAGCCGGAAATCACACTCGACACCACGCCCGATGTTGATTATAGCCGGAAATCACACTCGGTACCACATCCGGTGTTCACTATAACCGGAAATCATACTCGGTACTACGCCCGGTGTTGATTATAGGCGGATATCATACTCGGTTCAACGCTCGATGTTGATTATAGCAGGATATCATACTGGGTATCACGTTCGGTGTTGATTATAGCTGGACATCATGCTCTGTATCACGTCCGGTGTTGATTAAAGCCGAATATCATATTCGGTACCATGTCCGGTGTTGATTATAGCAGGACATCATACTGGGCATCACGTCCGGTGTTGATTATAGCCAGACATCATACTCGGTACCACGTCCGCTGTTGATTATATCCGGACATCACACTCGGCATCACGTCCGGTGTTGATTATAGCCGGACATCATACTCGGTACCACGTCCGGTGTTGATTATAGCCGGAAATCACACTCGACACCACGCCCGGTGTTGATTATAGCAGGACATCATACTGGGCATCACGTCCGGTGTTGATAATAGGCGGATATCATACTCGGTATCACGTCCGGTGTTGATAATAGGCGGATATCATACTCGGTATCACGTCCGGTGTTGATAATAGCAGGACATCACACTCGGCATCACGCCCGGTGTTGATTATAGCCGGACATCATACTCGGTATCACGTCCGGTGTTGATTATAGCCGGAAATCATACTCGGTACCACGTCCGGTGTTGATTATAGCCGGAAATCACACTCGACACCACGCCCGGTGTTGATTATAGCCGGAAATCACACTCGACACCACGCCCGGTGTTGATTATAGCCGGACATTATACTAGGTATCAAGCCCGGTGTTGATTATAGCCGGACATCACACTCGGTATCACATCCGATGTTGATTATAGCCGGAAATAACACTCGGTACCACGTCCGGTGTTGATTATAGCCGGACATCACACTCGGTACCACGTCTGGTGTTGATTATAGCCGGACATCATACTGGGTATCACGTCCGGTGTTGATTATAGCAGGACATTACACTCGACATCACGCCCGGTGTTGATTATAGCCGGAAATCATACTGGGTATCATTCACGATGTTGATTATAGCCGGATTTCATACTCGGTATCACGCCCGGTGTTGATTATAGCCGGAAATAACACTCGGTACCACGTCCGGTGTTGATTGTAGCCGGACATCATACTGGGTATCACGTCCGGTGTTGATTATAGCAGGACATTACACTCGGCATCACGCCCGGTTTTGATTATAGCCGGAAATCATACTGGGTATCATACACGATGTTGATTATAGCCGGATTTCATACTCGGTATCACGCCTGGTGTTAATTATAGCCGGACATCATACTGGGTACCACGTCCGGAGTTGATTATAGCAGGATATCACACTCGGCATCACGCCCGGTGTTGATTATATCCGGACATCACACTCGGTATCACGTCCGGTGTTGATTATATCCGGATTTCATACTCGGTATCACGTCCGGTGTTGATTATAGCAGCACATCACACTCGGTACCACGTCCGGTGTTGATTATAGCCGGACATCATACTGGGTACCGGAAATCATACTCGGTATCACAACTGGTGTTGATTATAGCCGGACATCATACTGGGTACCACGTCTGGTGTTGATTATAGCCGGACATCATACTGGGTACCGGAAATCATACTCGGTATCACAACTGGTTTTGATTATAGCCGGAAATCACACTCGGTACCACTCCTAGTGTTTACCACGTTTGTGTTTGTTAGTAGACCGCAATGCACACCAGGTTTTATGAAATCCCGGGGACTGTTACATTCAAAGAAACTTATATACAGGTTATAATATATTTCTGTCTGTACATTGGTTTATGTTCAGCTGTATGTATACTTCGCGGTGAAAACTTTGCAACAGAAAGTGAGATACATGAAAGAATAGAATTACACAAACAATAGGGCTGTCCAAGTCAGTTATCAGAAAGTTATGGACGTCAGAATCCGCACCCATTATACAGAAACCACCACGAATTATCTTAGCGACCGAGGCCTGTGTCGTCTCAACATTGGCCTTGTCTAAAACACGGACAGGTCTGGTATCTGTCATGTAACAGGCAAGAGTGAAAGTTAAACGTTTTCATTTATGCGCAACAAGATAAGTTAAGGGTCGTAGCGACGTGAAGGGAGGTAATGAAATGAATGACGATGTAGGTGTATGTTGTTTGTATATATTCAGAAATCATAATCCAGACACTATTATACTGCCATAAGAGTGTACATACAGTACAAAACAATGTTAGAAATACCACAGATTGTATTTATTAGAAATTCCATAATTCGTATGTATTAAAAATACCATAGATCATGTTTGGCATAATTTTCTGTATACTTTATGTTTTGTGATGAAACGAAATAAAGTATGCCGATGCTAAGACATCTATTTTGAAAAATTGAAATAAAGTTTGAATATCCAAGTTTATAGGATTTTAGAGGCCTGAGAATTGTTGTAATACATAAGTAGGTCACCGGAAGCTGACCTAACCCCAGTAAAACATTTATTAACTATACACATGTGCAGTATTGACATACATACAAGTATATAACTATTCTAACAATATCATCTTGGCCTTGGTCAAGGACATTATCAAATAGCAATTTTCAGTATTGAAGAAAATAGAGAAGAGATGATTTTCAAACCTGATTGCAATAACGCCAGCGAAAATATAGAAATATTAGAAACAGCCACAACTTTATAAATCCATTATGTTATACTCTAACGGATGACAATACAAAGATGAAATATTAGGTGATTCTGTTTCGGCTTGCTGTTCAAAATTATTATATACAAACCTATATTGGTGACAATGGTTATAAATACCTGTACACGATCAACAACCTCCTTCATTGTAGTTCAATACTCCGAAAGTGTATTTTTCGTTACTTTTTTTATGACTTCAATCAGGATGTTTCAAGTGTCTGTTACGTGTAACGAATTTGATAAATGCTTAGAGATGTTGGTGATGTTTACATTTTATCGTGTCATCCTTGTACTTGGTATTTCAGTGAGAGTGATAGTTAATGCATATTAGGAACACGACTAGTATCATTTTCCACAAACTGAACGGAACCATTAAAATGAAAAGGGTATGTAGAAGATGATGATAATGATGATGATGATGACGATATTAATTTGTGCCATCTCACCATTAATTGCGAAGATATATATTCGATTTGTGTAGTACCTTCCGAGTACTGAATTAGTACCAGTACAGTTTTACAGGTACTTTA